TATAATACTTTTTCCTACTTATATTTAACGAAAGCATAGTTTGAAAGGAATGGGCTGGAACTTAGCTGGCCAGGACAGATGCCACAAAATAGGACACTTTATAAAAACTTAAACCTGGAAGAAAATATGACGGAGAGTTACGTTTTTCCATAGCCTAGTATGCGAAGCCCAGTTCTTGGAGTCTCAGAAACTTCTGGCAACCCTTGGAGAAGCTCATCAGTTGTATCATTAAGCAAATATAAACTGTGTACTTACCAGTGGGAAGTATTGGACTGAGTTCTTTGAGTCAAACAAGGACCCATGGGCACGATACATGCCTTCAGTCAATTGGGCGATGAGTCACAGAGAGAAAGCAACACTAAACACTGGAATACCAACCAGTAGTAACTATGTTTTCACTGACATGCATATGCTTCTAAAGCTGTACATCATGTGGCTGTTGCCATCATCACCCTGAGAGCAGAGGACCTCGGTTCAAAGTCATACAGCTACTGCACAGTGGGGCCTGAGGGAGTCCCCACTCTTCACCCATGCTCCTCTGCAGCCCATGTAGTACTGGCTTAAAACTGAGCCTTAAGAATAGAAATGTGAAAAGCATGGCAAGACAGCACTACATAATATCTGAAGATGGGAGGAGGGTGAAGGAGGATGTCATAAGTTAGACAGGGTACAAAGACATCTGAGAAAGAAGAGGGGATGATGCTTGACATGAGAGAAGGGAGTCTAGAGAGTACAGCATCAGCAGCCAAAAGGGTGGATATTTGCAGAGATGGTGTTGTCGATGCGGTCAGACCAGCTCAGGAAAGAATTGAGAAGAAGCTTTGCTTTGTCCCTCAGTCAGCTATTAGTGATATCCCGGAAAAGCTTTTGGAGGATAATAAAAACAGAAACCAGAATTTCTTGGGTTGTGTGTTACTCAGTATAAAACTATAGTGTCCCATCAGGCAGAGCCAATGTGGGGCAAGCAGAAGCAGCAGTGAGAGCAAGAAGCTTGGTAGAATTTGTGAGCATTGCTGGGTTTTCTGATTTTCCAGGAGAGGGTAGGAAGCCCTGACATCGTGTGTGTATACATGCACATGTGTGTGATAGCTTCTGCTTTCTAAATGTTAGCTCATCTTTTAAAAGTAAAATTCATTTAAGAACTAAACTTAACATATCTGTAGGTTGAATTTATCATATCTGGACTCCTTCCAGAAGTTTCCAAGCAAAATGCTGAAGTATCTTGATCCACTTAGGTTCATGTTTGCAGCAGGCATACCTGTTTGTATGCCAATGGTCTCATAGTCTTACTTAATTGGGTTGGGTAAATATAAACTCACAACAAAAGAAGATTCCATAAATAAAGAACGGATGCCCAAGAGAGAAGACCAAAGCAACATGTTTGTGGGTACAGGAGGAGTTTAATTAAGAGTCCAGTTGTTGCCAGGTGGTGGTGGTGCGTGACTTTAATCCCAACACTTGGGAAGCAGAGGCAGTTGGATATCTGAGTTTGAGGCCAGCATGGTCTACAGAGTGAGTTCCAGAATAGCAGTGGGTACACAGACAAAACCTGTCTCCAAAAACAACAAAGACAAAGGAAACAAATGAGAAAAAGTTCAGTTGTTAGAAATATAAGTTGTAACCAAGATAGAATACTGGGAAAGTGAAGAGTAAGGAGCGAAGAGGCTCTTTCTTTCTCCTCCTTTGTCCAAGTAGTTGGCCAGCCTGAGAACTGAAGAGAAACAGACAAATTTTACAGCGTCTGCTTTGGAGGACAGCAGTGCAGCAGCTGGGTGGGGCAGTTGGCCTTCCTATCATCACTCTCTGTTTCTTTCAGAGGACAGAGTTATACTCTGTAGCTCAGGTTGACCGGTACTGTGTCCTGAATGCTGACATTGCAGGCCTGAGCTGACATACTCAGCCTTGGATCTCAATAATGGGACAACATGCTGTCTCTGCTTGCTTATCAATCCACTATTGATTATCTGAAGCTGTACTCCCAACTGATGGCTGAGATCCCATATTTCATTCATTCATTCATTCATTCACTACTTATGTAGCAGTATTGCTAGACCTCTAATTGACCTCTACTGTTTTTTATTCAAATGTGTTCTGACCATAACATACATATTTATTACATGTGTATGTACATATACATATATATGAACATATTGCTTGCTTGTGTATATTACATATATTTTATTAATATATACATGAAAATGCTACAGACCACATTAACATTAACTTTTCAACTATGCATTTAAAACAATATACACACTACTTAACATTTTATCGAGGATACCTCTTCATTGCACCTAGAATAACTTTGTCTGTCATTCCCAGGACACGCTGTCTAATTTCACTAGTTAGCTCTTCGGGTCCCACAGAGCAGGGATTTCTTCCACATTAGGAAAGCAGGATATGGCCTTGCTTTTTATTCAAGTGGGCTGGCCTAGATGGCCTGATCTGAATAAAATGGATAAAGGCAGGCACCTCTTTGTCTGACAATTTGAAAGTGATGCTATTTGAATACCAAGAAGCTTGAAGCTTGACTGTGGAGCCTTCCAAATTAATCTAGTCTTGTGGAAAAAAAAAAAGAAAGAAAGAAAATGCCATCAAGTAACAGGAGATTTGTCAGCTGCCCTGCTTACACTTTTCATATAAAACAGAAAGGTTGGCAGATTATAGATGAAAGGTCAGCTCAGCAAAAAAGAAAATCTGTCAGACAATCTCATAACATAGGTAACCCAGGGCGGAACTTGGAAACTGCTATTGGATTCTCAGAGAGAGATGAGTCTGTTGGCGGCGTGTAAATATCATCACCGCTCCTGTGGTTGTTCATTTCAGCGGCTCCTTCACTAGCGGAGTCCCTGAAATCTGATTTAAAAGACACAGAGGATGCTTGTTTTCCTGAAGAGGATTTACTTCGCAGAAGTTTTCACCTTTTAGTTCTTGTTTGTTTGTTTTGAAGAGCTAAAGGGGGTAGGGGGAAGTACTTCGATTGCCCAGTGTCTCAGACTCAACCGTTCTGAACCAAAAATCTAAAATGAGGAAATAGTGAGAAATAGTGCAACAGCAGCAGTGTCTACTGAATGAGTTTCCAGTGCACCCAGCACCACCAATAGAGGAGATAGAGGGCCACAGTGTGATGTGAACCAGTAGCCAAAGCCCACTCTGGCAGGACACATTGCTGCTCAGGAAAGCCTTTTTAGCCTGTTCTTACTTGAGGAACCCAGACTAGTCTGTGGGTGCATAATCTAACCACAGTCTGCAACAGCCTCACTAGATCAGCAGGAACAGTGCTGGGAATTTGAGGCCTTGTTAATCCATCTTTCATCTGTGCTTCAAGTGCAGGAGTCCTGCAAAATAGCACCATTCTAAGGCATTTGCAACACACATCACGCTCCTAATTGCCCAACTCGCATAAGCGTGCCTTTGAGAGTGGCTTCCTGCTTCTACTGCACTCTTCCTCACAGCCCTGCAAGTAACTGAGGCCAGAGGCATGTCACACAGAAGTGTGTGCAGGCCATCAGGTATCTCTTGACTCTTGGCCTCAGTGTTTCTGATTCCCTTATTCCACAGAATCATTTTTTACCAATGCTTTCGCCTTCTCTAGAGCCTTCCCATTACAGCACACATTATATATGATTTTGTTACCCTTAGAAACTGAAAATCAAGAGCTGAAGAAATATTACAATGTTATAAAACGTCACCACTGTCCCAGAAAAACACTTGTGCTAGCAGCTGCATGTGCTTCAGGCTGCTGGCATGGTGGAAACTCTCCAGTGCAGTCTTTATAGTTCGCTCTGCTGAAATCCAAGTGCCAATGGCAGAAGTTACTACCACTCCCAATAAAAAGTCTCTTCCCACTAAAGCTTCCTTAATTAAATCATCAGCTCTGGCTTGCTGGTAAGGATCAATTCTTACAAGAGTATTCTCTTTCCTGCTCAGGATAAGCTTAACTCTTCCCAGATTGGCAGGCAACATTAATTTTGCACTGGACCCAGGAGTCTCAACAGGGAATTATATGTGCCTCCATCCTACCCTTATTTTTGCCCCAAAATAAAATAAAATAAAATAAAATAAAATAAAATAAAATGAGCACTAGCCCATCGGCGAGGTTTGAGGGATGGGTAGCGACAGAGCAGGGAAGAGATTAATCTTGAGGATGGGGATGGCTGCCCGGCTCTATCTCCCCTTGGAAATTTGGTTGTTATAGCATCACAGTGAGCTATTAATATGTATGACCTGTACTTTATTCAAAGAATATAAATCTATGCAGAAGTCTGGTGTTTGGGTTTTCCTTTCTAGCTTTCATTCTTCTTCCCAGAATTATCTCATTTCGATCGGGAAACTTTTGCATACCAAGCACACACCGAGAAGTCGCATTTCCATAGCATCAATATTAAAGGGGGGTTAAGCTTTACAGTTTCTTCTCCCATCTCAATGGGAGGAAAGTCGGCCTTCCAATCACCGGCCCTTAATAATGTCCTTACTCAGAAGCCAGAGGTAAATGTAAAGCTCGACTTGCAGTATAGCATTGTAGCTTCCTTATCTGGATTTAGGATGCACTGCCAAATGCTTTGTTTGAAGGGTGTACTAAAAATCTAGCATGTATTCGTGCTATTAAAAATAGTTGGTTGTCATAATTTATTGAGAACCAGATTGAATCCAAGCCTTCTCTTTAGGATCATGGTCAATCTTTACACAAAACCAAAACTGGATAATTGTGTATAGAGTCATCACGGTGGATCTGTAAAATCTAGAAAGAAATGTTGCTGGAAAACTTAAGGCCTTTTTAGCAGCTGTTTAGCTCCATATAGCTTCCTATTTCCAGGTTATTTTCCTTTTTGGTAGCATAAAAGAGTAGCCATAAAATTTGGTTTACATGGAAATAGAAGGAAATGTGTGAATATTTCATTCGGGTGAGCTGTCTGCTAATCACAGTCTTGGCGGTTGTATCTTGTGATGGGAAATGAATGTGCTAATTGGTACTTTTTTTTCTCTCCTTGTTATTACAGGAAACCTGCCATATGAATATAAAATTGTGATTGCCGGGAATCATGAACTGACATTTGATAAGGAATTCATGGCAGACCTCGTTAAACAGGACTACTACCGTTTCCCCTCTGTGTCCAAATTGAAACCAGAGGACTTTGACAATGTTCAGTCCCTCCTGACAAACAGTATTTACTTGCAAGATTCAGAGGTAACCGTGAAGGGATTCAGGATATACGGTGCACCCTGGTAAGTGCTCATTCAACAGGTTTCCTCTGTTTTCAAGTTGGGACTTAGCTGCTTTCCATGACAATGACTAGGGTGGAAGGAAAGGCTGTTGGTTCATAGCCAACCAAGCACATCATCTGGTCCACTGTAAATCACAGTGTTGCTGATTTTCATCATCAAACAGACTCCTTTAGGTGACAAGAATGAAACTAAAGCTTTAGTAGATTCGTATGTAGTTATATGACTGGGGCTCTACATGGGTCTGTGCAAATATAGGGAGAGTAGTGAAAGACTACTCTGTTACTCTTGCCAGACTTAGCTACTCTGAACATTCCAGGAGGGTATTTCCCATTTCAGTGGTATGGAAGCAGTCATGAAATGCCTGGCACAGCGCTCGAAGTTTCTCAGGTCTCTACACATCAGACTGCCTGGTTCTGTAAAGATAGCTGTGGAAATCTAGTCTCAAAGACATCCCTGACTCTTCTGTCTCAGAGAAACCCCAGAAATCTGTGTTTTTATAAAGGCTTTCCAGATGAGACAGATGCTTGGGCAAGTGGAGGTTGTTGATTGATAGCCCAGTACTAGAAGTCTAGAATTGTGCTCTGGAACACATCCTAGGGGCTTCACAGTGGGACTCTGGTTTTCATTGCCAGGTTTTAAAGAAGTTACTCAGTGTTGCCGAACCTTAGATTTTGTACCTTCAAAAAGGTGAAACTAAATAGTACCTTTTATCTGGTGGTTGAAGGATTATGTAGGTGGCACATGGAATGGAACTAGAAGAGACACTGGTAGTTGGCTTACAATAACATTTATCATTTTCATACTCTTAGCTTTACCACTGTGGTTTTGGGTGGACTTGAGCAAGTCACTTAGCCCAGACCAATGTGTTCATCTCTGAAATGAGAATGTTTGACTGGATCAAACAATTCCAAGACTATCTGTAAGCCTTGAGTAGACCAACTAAACCTTCCCCACTCCTCCTGAAACAAAACCCCAAGACCTTTGCTACAAGCTAGGACAGAGCTGCAAGAGGAGTGGCAGAGCAGATTCCCATTGTCTATCATATCTTTTTTCCCTGACTCATTGGAATTCATACCTTACAGGGGGTGTGAGAAGTACATTTTGTTGCACTTCAACCTGACAATGACTGTGAGTTCCTTATTAACAACCATAAATAGGCACTGTTCTAAGTCTGATGTTATCAGTTGTCTAAATTCAGTCTTTAATCTGCCTGAAGGATTTAAGTACTTGTGTAATTTTCATTTAGCAGGTAAGCAAACTGAGGCACAGGAGTTTAAAGACTGCTTGGGAAACCGTAGGCAATGAGTGGTAGTCCTACTACCCTGCCATTGTGCCCAACTCCAGGGAAAATAGTGTGGCCAAGGGCTTGAGTAGCGATGGAAGTGCTGGTGGTAGTGTGATAATTAGTGGTTATAATTTGCAGGTCCAGTTTAAATTTGACTCTATTAAAATCCATACATTTATTTTTATTCATGAGAAGGTAATAAGATAAATAGCAGCCATGACTCCTGTTTAGCTGTGATCAGAAAAATGATCTCAGTGTGAAACAGGGAGTTGTTATCAGTAGTTCTGGATATGGAGCAGGATGTGAGCTTTTTCCACTTCCTGGTCCAATTCTTAATAAAATTTAATATTGAGGATTATTCTCTGGTTGTCACAGAAACTTGATGTGCTGGTTAAAATCATTTCTTCAACCATGTCTAGTATTTTTGAACAATCTACGAAAGGCACAGGACATTGGGTTGTTTACAAATAATCAGTGCTTTCAAAGATCCTAGATTGCTAATCTCTCAAACAATGACAGAGAAATAGAAAAAATATCCCCCGTGATTTAAGATGATCCAAATATGCTTAGGGTAGAACTAGCTAAACAAAATTATAGCTGTGATGTGTGAGGTGATGGTTAGGATCTCAAGCCAGACCTTGAAGTACCTCAAGATATGAAAACAAGTTAGTAATTGAAATATGGGATATGATGGGATATGACCCAGTCTAGGTGGTTGGTTCATGTTGCATACAAAATTTATATCAGAACTAGATTACTATTATTTACAAGTTTTAAAAATCATTTAAAAATTTTTAATAATTCAGTATTAGAGAAGGTAATTGAAGTAGAAACGAGGCAAAATTATTGGGCCTTGAAATGTTGTACTGAGATAGTTCCTTGTAGTGTGTATTGAGATTTAAAAAAAGAAAAATTGACCCCTTGTTCCTGCTGAACAGTTCTTTACAAAGAAGAGAATCTGTAGGTATAATTTGGGCCATGTGAAAGAGGGATTTGTCCCACTCTCTGAGATTATTGGTACTTTGGTTTTTGATCAAGAATCAGATACTGGTGAAGGAGAGATTTCCATTTCACCCTATTCTCCTGAGAAACCAGTTGTTTGAATGTCACTATGAAAATGTTCTGTTTAAATGGGTATTTCCAGGGCTACTGAACAGTCTTGGAGATTTCTGTCTGAGCATTTCTGTGTGGTGAGGAACATGTGTCCCATTTCTACCACACAGTCCCTGGGCCTTTGGATGAGTCCATGTGACTTTGTTTGGTTTGGTTTTAACCTCCCCATCCCTCTGTTTTTTCATCTTTACAGTATCATTTCCCTCATAACATGAACTTTATATACTCACAGCATAGCAAAGACCCCAAGCCAAGACAGTATTTTAGAAGTGTAGCTGTCACCATGAACAATGGAGTATTGGTCCTTTCTGTCAACTCTACAGGAGACTCTACACCAGGAGTCAGAGGGATGTGTTCTGTTCTGACCTTGGTTCAACCTCTGCTGATTGGATGATGCTAGATGAGGCCTGTGTCTTCTCAGTTTAGTATATGAAACAGAAGAAAAGATGTCTGATCTAGCTCTTTCATACTTTAACCATATAAATGTGCACCAAAGCTAGAATCTTGAAGGATAATACATATTGGTAGACATGGTTATTTTAATGCTTTGCACATTTTTAACCTCTTTTACTATTAAAATTTTGCATAGGAACAAAATTTGAGGGAAATTACATCATAACTAGTTCTTATCTCATTTCAAGAGTTAAGGTTTTATCATTGTTATTGTATCTCCGAGATTTCTCCACAGGTAAAAGCCTCCTCAGTAGCTCAGTTGATATTCCAAAATAGTAGAAACTACTTAATTTGGACTTCCAAAATTTTCAGCAAATTTTCTAGAGGAAATGTTCAGTTATGAATTGATAATACTGTTTATAGTTTTCATTTAAAAACAAAAATCAAAACAAGAACTTTTATCCTAGCTGTTTCTGTCCTGTCATCTATGGGTTTCACAAAAGTGGTTGCCATCAGACCAAGGAAATTGCTCTAACTCTTGAATTTTAAAAGGATAAAGATGGAGTGTAGATGGTTTTTTAGAAGATGTACTTAGTGTGCACAAGGCCCTCGTGTCTTGTTCTGCAGCATCACCTTCTCCATAAGATAAAATAAAGTGATTGTTAGATGATTTAACTTCAGAAAAAGAGTTTTCATCTACCTTCATTCTGTGCTTATAACTGTGTCACAGCTGAAAGCTTCCCAGAGACTAGAGAAAATACTGTTTCTTCCTGGTTTCTAACTTACCAGGAATTTATATACAGAAAATAGCTTGCAACACATCTCAGCATTCCTGTATATTTCCAACTGCAATGTGCCATGCCACTTACTACATCTCTAACGAAGAGGATTAGGATGGGATTTGATGGGAAGAAAATTTAGTGTTCCAAACAGCAGAAGTTGTAGACCGGATGTTAGTCTGGAAGGAGAGGGGCTCCTTGAAAAGAGGGCAAGTGTAAATGAGTTTTTCAGGGCGCTTCTTGGCCTCAGGGGGAACTTGGCAGGAACAGTTTTCTGCAGTCTATCTAAATTTCTTCACCAACTCCTTCCATCAACCTAAAGGAAAGCAATCACACATGTGCTTTAGATAATTCGCTTGTAGGATTTTCTTAACTTCTGCCATCATTTCCTTTTGTCCCTTTTGGGAGACAGAAGAGAGGGATTGTGTCATCAGGCAGCTGGACCAGCTTTGAAAGATCACAGGCTTCCCATGCCTAGTGTTCACGCTTGGCCTCCAAGGTGAACCTCCATTTCCTCTTTCTGGTTGCCCTCTGCAGCATCTTTCCCAAAGACAAAGAAAAGAGAGAAAAGAAAAAATTCTAATCTGTCAAATATAAGCCACTGTAGTAACTAATTGCTTGTCAGTTCAATACCAAAGGAAAGGTGGAATTTTGAGATCATCTTCATGTTTTTAATTACTGAACCTGCTCCCAGTCTTTTAATGCAAGCGGGCTTCAGTTTAACTTTCCCACAGAACATTCTGTGAAAATCAGCTGGATCTTCTTTTAGCAATCTCATGATGGCAAGATGCTGTGGCAAAAGAAATAAGGAAGGAAGGAAGGAAGGAAGGAAGGAAGGAAGGAAGGAAGGAAGGAAGGAAGGGGAAGGAAGGAAGGGGAAGGAAGGAAGGAAAGAAGGAAGGAAAGAAGGAAAGAAAGGGAGACAGAAAGAGAGAGAGAAAGGGAGGAAAGAAAGAGAGAGAGAGAAAGGGAGACAGAAAGAGAGAAAGGGAGAAAGAAAGGAAGGAAGGAAGGAAGGAAGGAAGGAAGGAAGAAAGAGAGAAAGGAAGAAAGGAAGGAAGGAAGGAAGGAAGAAAGAAAGAAAGAAAGAAAGAAAGAAAGAAAGAAAGAAAGAAAGAAAGAGCCGGGTGGTGGTGGCACACACCTTTAATCCCAGTGCTTGGGAGGCAGAGGCAGGCAGATTTCTGAGTTCAAGGCCACCATGGTCTACAGAGTGAGTTCTAGGACAGCCAGGACTACACAGAGAAACCCTGTCTCTAAAACCAAGAGGAGGGGGGAAGGGAGGGAGGGAGGGAGGGAGGAAGGAAGGAAGGAAGGAAGGAAGGAAGGAAGGAAGGAAGGAAGGAAGAAACCAAACCCACACTTAACAGGAATAAGCAAGCCTTGTTGCAAAAATAGACAGATCCTGACCATAGCCTGGAATGCTCAGA